GTGAAGTGGTGGTGGTGGTGATGATGAGTGAGTGGGGTGGTGGGTGTGGTGATGGTGGTGAGTGGTGGTCAGTGGTGTGTAGAGTGGTGTGTGACAGATGATACAATATTAACTTAATACTTCACCTCTACTCCCCCCACACATTCATAACATCACCGATTGTAAGAATAAAGGAACGCCAGGCGCTTGTAAACGCTCGCACTGGCAATATTTTAACCTATGACCTAATACACCGTCTGCCAACTCCTCACATTACCTCAGCTGACTCACAAACATTTCGACGACAAATTTCTTCCCCCTAACTATCAATGCACGTGGAACCATCTGATTGGTCTATTTAAGCTACGATATAAAGATAGGGGATAAAGTGACTTCAAAATTGCCCTAAGACTGTTCACCAAGAAGCTAACTTAACCTAACCTGACCTGACTTAACCTAACCTGACCTGACCTAACCTGACTTAACCTAACCTGACCTAACCTAACCTAACTTAAATCTCCACAAAAGGAGACAAAAATAACGAGATATTTTCAGATCCTTATTTCCTGTGCGTGCATGAGACACATTTACCGGGACTCTTTAATTACAGGTGTTCGTCTCCCTCCTTTTACCTGTAATTTACCTGTGATCTATCGGCCGTGCCTTTAAACGACGCTACTATTATTATGGAGTTGCTCTGTGGGACCATAATTGAATGTCTTGAGTTGAGGACGTCAGGTGTTGCGTCTCCTGAGCAGTGTAGATGGATCACCTGTCACCTCATTAAGATATAGAACAGGTAGACAGCTTCTCCCTACCTCTCTTCCCTTGCCTTACCTTCCTATCTCCTCCATCCACTTGTCTACCCCCTCCAGTCATCCATCTACTTCCTCCACTCATTTACCTCCTTCCACTCACCCACCCACACCACCCACAAAAAAAGGCGGTATCATTGTATCTACGCCCACCGACCATCCCGGAGAAGGCGGACCAACCACATCCACCACCACCACAACAACCACCACCTACCATAGAAATAAATGTCGACTTAACACCTGCAAACACCCGCTACTAACCACCACCACCACCACCCACCACCTACAGTCGCCCTTGTGTCTATATCAACATACAGTCAGGGTACAGTCTCAGTTTAATTACGACGTCATGTTAACTTTTTCCTCCTCTGTACGAATATTTATCTCAGTTTCGTACAATAAAGATCAATGTTTGTATTTAAGAACAGGTCAAGTAATCCCCAGGTGTCGGCTGTACTACAAAGGTAACGATTTTAATTAGATATACACCTGTTATACTAATTAATATATTGCGTACCTGAACGACTATATTCAAGGTAGATAGTGAGATAATCCACACGTTGTAATATATCCATTTTATCCACACGCTATATATGCTGTATATATATATATATATATATATATATATATATATATATATATATATATATATATATATATATATATATATATATATATATATATATATATATATATATGCCAAAAGACTATCCACGTGTTACATATATACTATCCACACCTTATATTTTTATAAAATATCCACACACACACACGTATAATATACTTTTCATACACAAATACACAAGAACGCTATCCATCCACACATACACTATTCACCGCACGAACAGGCTATCCACACACGCCTGTCTAGCCTTTTCAAACAGTAACCAGCTATCCATATCTATCCATCTATCATCTCCAAGCTCCAACAAACTACCCATACCTATCTACAGTATATATCCTCTTTAAACACAAACAAACTATCCACATTCCCCATCTATCCTCTTCAACTGGTAACAGGCCATGTATCCACACCTACACGTCTCACCTCATGAACTAACTAAACCATCCACATAACCCAACAATAACATATTTTGAGCAGAGAAACACAGGGCGAGGAGCCGAGAGTGGGTGTATGACGTAGGCTAGTGACGTCATGGCCGACACACGCCTCGATAACATTGGATCATTAATCTGTGTTGGGATGTAGGAACCAAAGCTGACTGCATTCACCCCTTCTACATATTGTCTCAATCTGCTCCCTTACATAACCTGTCATGTCCTGTATGCCTCTCTGACCCCTGTATGCCTTCCTATATGCCTCTCTGACCTTTCTATGGCTTTCCCTCCTGTCTATTCTGCCTCGTATGCTGTGAGATGTATGGCCTACTTCCTCCCTGTGTGTGTGTGTGTGTGTCTTCCCTCTCATGGTAACCTTAGTGATGCCTTGCTTGTTGTGGAGAGAGAGAGAGAGAGAGAGAGAGAGAGAGAGAGAGAGAGAGAGAGAGAGACCTTGATATACCTGTGTTGTCTGCTGGTGAGGGTGACCTGCCAACACACACACACAGGTATTAATCCACACCTGTACTCAACACCTGTACTTAACACCTGTACTCAACACCTGTACTCAGCGCCTATACTCACACATGTACTCATCACCTGTACTTAACACCTGTACTCAACACCTGTACTTAACACCTGTACTCAAGACCTATACTCACACCTGTACTTAACACCTGAGTCTGTTGTTAGTAACTGTGATTAAAAATCTCGATAATAAGTGAATAAAATAAGAAAATAACCAATAAAATAAGATAAAGACGAGAAAATAAGCAAAGGAACATCATCAATCACATGTCAACGCTGGTGTCGTCAGGCCGCGTAAGCAAAGTAGGTGAGAAAATGTGTGGGTGTGAGCGTCCTCTGCTTCTCTCGCTCCCACCTCCGCCTCGCACCACCTCCGGGACGAGAATGGAATGTCAACCTCGGGAGAGCAGACACAGCAAGCGGACGTAAAAGTAGCAGAGGTAGTGATGACGTCGGCGGGGCTGGCGAGCGTGGGAGGCAAGAACTCGCAAGCTCATTGGTCAATATGTGATGAGGCATTATGTGACGTCATCTCTTGTATTGAGAACAGAAAATCGAACTGTGATTATTTAACAGTTTCCCACGATCGAGGAATTATAGAGTTATCAAAGACACATCTCATATAATTATTGCTGCTTAATATCCACCCTTCAAGATTATATAACCGTAATCATACATAAAAAAACAAAAAAATAGTAATTTGGTTTTATATATCCGACTTGGATTCACGAACGCCAAGACAGCGGTGTAAAGGTGTATGAACCAGTACATCCGTGACTTTAATAAGCTCAGGTTTACCTGTTTTTACCTGGACCTCCACCAAGGCTCTGTTGTCACCTGTCTGCCTCGCTAAATTAAATCAGGGGGAGAAGGTGTACCACACGCCTACACCTGGCCCCGCCGTGTGTGTGTGTGTGACCTAACAGGTGAGAGTATCCTTATAGGAGAAAGTCGTACCCACCACTAGGATGTGTTAAGGATGTGTAGGAGGAGCTGTGCATCCTTCAGGCCCCGGCTACGATAAGAAATACTTCACCTGTCCAGGATGTGTACAGGTGGTTGTGTGTACGTCCATAATACACATCATGCACGCCACTCATGTATACGGTCACATGTCTATGTATACAGTATAAACAAATATACACACAGATTGTACAGATACTGTATATGTAAACACATAAACAATGATATATTATGTGTGTGTGACAGATAGAGAGATAGTGCTACGCTTTAAAGCCAAAAGTGTCGGTCACACAACTGAATGCTCTCTCTCTCTCTCTCTCTCTCTCTCTCTCTCTCTCTCTCTCTCTCTCTCTCTCTCTCTCTCTACCCTCCTCTCCCGCTAACTCTCTCGCCTTCTCTTCCCTCCTCCCTTCTCTCATCTTCTCTCCCTCCTACATGTTGCACCTCACGTATCTTCTGTCCTTATGGCGATTAGAGGATGGGGGGCTTGTGTCGTGGGGAAGTGCTGAGGTTGGGTAGTAAGATCGGCCATAAGAGCTTGGCAAAACCTCACCTCCTCATCCCCTCCTATTCCTCCTCCCCTCCTCCCCCTCCACCCCCTCCACCCCCTCCTCCCTTGTGTCGTGCCGGATAGTCGCGCTGCCAGACGCCACTTTAAGGATCTTGGATATAAACAGGTGTAAATCAGGTAATTAACTTACCTGTGGGTAGGGTGGGCACACAGTGAGGAGGGAGATGGGGTAGGGGAGGGAAGGGAGGATGTGGGGTGTTGGGGAGGAAGTAAGTATTAGTGTGTTAGTAGATACAAGTGTTGACAGGTGTGACAGATGTTTGACAGGTGATACAGGTGTTGACAGGTGTGACAGATGTTTGACAGGTGATACAGGTGTTGACAGGTGACAGATGTTTGACAGGTGATACACGTGTTGACAGGTGACAGATGTTTGACAGGTGATACAGGTGTTGACAGGTGACAGATGTTTGACAGGTGATACACGTGTTGACTGGTGTGACAGATGTTTGACAGGTGATACAAGTGTTGACTGGTGTGACAGATGTAATAATACTTGAGATCGTGATTATTATTATTATTATTATTATTATTATTATTATTATTATTATTATTATTATTATTATTATTATTATTATTATTATTATTATTATTAACTGTATTTGACACAGATTATCTTAAGTACTGGTTGAAGTTTACCTGTGAAGACCATAAAGGTAATTTATTACAGGTGTTACAGGTATTGGTAGTAGGTGCACGATCATTAAGTACAGTTATAACAGTGTCTTGAAGATGGTCAGTGTTGTATGTAACTTAGTAGGTGTGTGAACAGGTGTAGGCAGGTGTCAGTAGATATATTAACAGGTGTAGGTAGGTGTCAACATTTGTGTGAACAGGTGTAGGCAGGTGTCAGTAGATATATTAACAGGTGTAGGTAGGTGTCAACATTTGTGTGAACAGGTGTAGGCAGGTGTCAGTAGATATATTAACAGGTGTAGGTAGGTGTCAACATTTGTGTGAACAGGTGTAGGCAGGTGTCAGTAGATATATTAACAGGTGTAGGTAGGTGTCAACATTTGTGTGAACAGGTGTAGGCATGTATCAGCAGGTATAGTATGAGTAACGTGTTATTGTTGTCGTTACAGGAGTGTCCCTGGCCGGCTGCTGTACGTCCACGACGATGAGACGAGGCGGGGGCAGCCGGGTCCCACCCACGGCACCCGCCCTAGGGCACGCCCACGTCCACCGTCGCCCACGCCCACGATGATCAGTGGTGAGCATGGCACTGTTACAGCCAGTCCTGCTCATCACCACGACCAGTCGTCTGCCCTGCGCAAGAGGAAGCGACTCAGCCAAGTGGTGTTGGAGCTGACCTCTCAAGCCGAACGGCGCTCCCCCGACGACAAGTCCTGCCCCAGGGACAACCCTCCCCAGGACAAACCCCCAGATACTGCGGTGCCCTCCCAGGCACAAGCTGAGAGGAAACAGATGTTCAGTAGACAGCCCGACGATGTTTCCCAGGGGCCCGGCCAGGATCAGGCGGAAGAGCTTGGGCTCAGCCCCAGGCCCGGCCTTAGTCCTGTGCCTGGCCACAGCCCAGTACCGGGTCATAGCCCAGTACCGGGTCATAGCCCAGTAGCCGGCCATAGTCCAATTCCCGGCCATAGTCCGGTCGCTGGTCACAGCCCTGTACCCGGCCACAGTCCTGTACCCGGCCACAGTCCGGGTGTCAGCCCCGGTCTAAGTCCTGGACTAAGTCCACGAGTAACCGTACAGGATGAGTCAGGCCAAGAAGCCATGAAAGTAGACACTCCCCCATCCCCCAAAGAGGGCCCAGGGGAGGTGGTGGGCGGCTCAGCAGCCCTCCCAGATGCCCAGCAGCAGAGGTCCCCCGGCGTGATACAAGTGCACAGGTCGGGGGAGAGTGGCGGAGGTAGCAGCAGCAGCAGCAGCACCAGCAGCAGCTGCGGTAGTGCTGGACCTTCCAGGTCACCTCGAGCCGTCCAGAGCGACGTGTTCAGGTTCGACTCCGTGGACCGCGAGAGGTACCAGTACCACTGTCGAGCCATCAGTGAAGAGGACGAGGAAGTGTTCTCTCCAGGGCCGCCCTCTCACTCCCCCCACGCCAGGGACTCCCCAGCCCTGGCCAGAGTCAACTCAGACTCCCCAAAACTCTCCTTCAGTCCTTTAAGGATTAAGGACCCAAGTATTGATGAAGAAGACATCGACCTGGACACTAAGTCTCAGTCGGCCAGCGATGTTCCTTCCTCCACCAGCGTCATCCGGGGCGTCTTGCCCAAGCTTAGTGTAGTGAGGAGTGAGACCGGGGAGCAGGGGGGCCACTACCCCCCCTGCTCCTGTCACCACTGCACCTTCGCCGCCAGGGACCCCCACCGTCTGGGTCCCTCAGGTCTCTCGCACTCACCAATATCACCACTCACGCCCACCTCCCCGCACACGCCCATCTCCCCCTCACCAGGACACAACGTCGAGCACTACTTCCCGCCCACCGTCTACCTCCCGGACCTGTATCGTCGTCGCTCACACTCAGACTCAGATCTTCAGCTGTGGTTCGACCAGAAGGGCCGCAGCGATGTTCCAGCGGCCAGCAGCAGCAGTAGTAGCAGTAGCAGCAGTCGTAGTGCAGCAGGTCCGTCAGGCGAGCAGTCTTCTCGCCAATCCGTCTTGCGTCACGGGCGTCCCATCCTTCAGCCCCTCTACCTGCCTCGTAAGGGCGGCTCCCTCGAGTCCGACAACTCGTCGCCGCAGGACTCGCCTCTGGACCTTTCTGTGAAGACGTCCGGGAGCCTGAAAACGGGCAGCACCTCCAGCACGGACAGCCTGGTGCTTCCGGCTACCTTGTCCCTCTCGTCCCCTCACTCCCCGCTTCTTGCACCTCCCAAAGACTCCACACCACCACCACGCTCCCCAGGGGCGCCAGACCACCGTACAATCTCACAGTCGCACCTGCCCGTCCCCGTAGTGAAGGGAGACGTGGCGTCGTACAGTACTAAGGACAGCGTGGCACTGCGCTACCATCTAGAAGTGTCGCCCGTCGTGGAGGAGATGCCGGCGGGGGCAGACGTGGCCTTCGTGTGTCCCGTGTGTGGCCAGATGTTCTCCCTTCATGACCGTCTCGCCAAGCACATGGCGTCACGTCACAAAAATAAACAACTGGACACCAGCAGCAAGACATACATGTGTGACATGTGTAAGAGATCGTTCGCCAGGTCGGACATGTTGACCCGCCACATGCGTCTCCACACCGGCCACAAACCATACACCTGTCGCGTGTGTGGCCAGGTGTTCTCTCGCTCCGACCATCTCTCCACACACCAGAGGACCCACACTGGCGAGAAGCCCTACAAGTGTCCGCAGTGTCCCTACGCCGCCTGCCGCAGGGATATGATCACCCGCCACATGCGGACACACGCCCGCTACGAGCTACACGAGTCATCATCCATGGAGGAAGGCCAGGAGGTGGCCAGGCCCTGTCTGCCGGTAAGGTCCCTGTCGGAGGAACACCCGGCACCCAGCCCTCTGCTGGACCTTCCTGGCAACCTGGGGCCCCCCCAGTCACGCCCTTCCCAGGTCTCCCCCCTACCCATCTCCCCTGGCCCCCACACCACCACCAGCGGCGGGGCCCAGAAGTCCCTAGGGGCGTCCTCCATGGGGAGCGGCACCTCCATGCCCGGCCTGGGGCTGGGTGGGGCCGGCATCGTGGGGCGACTCCCTCCTCAACTACAGCGGCCCAGGAAGCAGGAGGAGGACTGAAGGGCCTCACATGACATGTCTGGTTCATGTTTTTTTGCCTCGCTGAGGTTTGTCTGGCTGGAGGTCGTCCCTCCTTGGCAGGGAGGCCGCTGGAGGCCAGAGTCCCGCGAGGTTCTGGCGTTGTTTGTGTGGCGGTGGCGGCCCGCCGTTCCCGCTGTGGCCGAGGTCAGCCCGGCGCCTGGCGCGACCTGGGCTTGGCCTGTCCCTGTCTGTCTGTCTCTCCGGCTGCCTAGTGCTGGTGCCCGGCCCCGCCCTGCTCCCTGGCCCCGTCTAACGGGGTTTTTGTGACCCCGAGGGGTGGGGCAGGCCGGGGCCGGGCATGCGTGTTGGTGTCAGCACGTGGGTGTCTCAGTGTCAGTGGTCACGTGTCGTGTCGTGTATGTGCCGCATGCGGTGTCTCGGGCGGCGGGTCTGCCGGAGGTTTTGCCCACTGTGGGGGAGGGGGGGGGGCTCTGCCATCCCTGGTGGGGCGGCCCCGCGGCAGGTGGGAGAGGAAGACTGTGCTGCTCCGCCCCCACATTCACCCCCCCAAAGTATCTCGGTGTGAAGGTGTCTGCCGCCTGCGGTGCCCGGGCGTCCTGCCGCCTGCGGTGCCCGGGTGTCCTGTTGCCTCTCTGGGGCGCGGTGACGCTAGCGAGGGCACCAGCAGGGTGGGGCGCCACAGGTGTATCAATGGTACCTGCTAATTTAATGAAGTAGATATTGTAAGGTGAGTGACCCCGAGGTGTGAGGGCGCCCGGGCGGGGCCAAGAGGCGTGTAGCCACGGGCCCGACCCATGCTGACAGGGCGCGGTGACCTCCACGCCCACACTGTGTATCCTCAAGGGGCCCACTGGGAGCTCAGTGCTGTATAAAGTGAGCCCCGCAGCTGATGAGTCAACAACATGTAATACTGAGCTGCAGGTCCTTACAGGTTGGCCTTGTGAGGCTGGTCACTAACAGGCCGTCTCGAGTGTGACCTGCCTGGTGAGCGACTCGTCGAGTAAGACCTTCTGGGAATGACACAGTGTGGGAGGCGAGGAGCACCTCCACCCTACAGGCAGGAGCTACTGAAGGTCTCGGGTACCAAGTCCTTTAATGTATTATCACGCGGTGGTCATGTTTGCTTCGTGTTCATATTATAAACGGTTCCTTTATTTCTTCAGTTTGTCGCCTATACTGTAGAGCCCGAGCCGCACCAGCGGGCAGTAGCGCTCCGTCACTCAACATGTAACACCACAATAATGTATTTTGATGTCTTTCATTTTTGGATCAAATTTGTCCTGAGCCAAACGTTTCCTCGATCACTTAACCCGACCACGCTGACGCACGCATGGCCAGGATGCCGTAGTACTTTTAACAGGCTGACTATCGCCATGCAGGTTACTTAAAAAAAAATAAAATATAAATAAAATCCCTCACCAGCAGGACTGTATTGTTGGCTCAACCTTACATTCTATTATGGGACCTTCCCCTCGTAGTCTTCTGAAGGATCCCGCTCACCTCCTCCTCACTAACACCTTTTATTAATTAATTGTGATTTTACTGTACATTAATTATTTTTAACTGACAAAGTGCTCACGATTTTTATGTTTCCTATGAAAACTTTTTTAGAGCTTATAATTATTATAATAATAATGATTATCATTACTATTGTGTTATAAGGATGATCTATAATTAATTGGTTGGTGTGATAACTGATGATGTCACTGTCAGTCTCTCACATAGGTCAACAAGGTCACACACGATGAAATAATTGTCAAAGGTTTTATTTTTAAAGGTATAATCTGACCAAGAGCCACAAGTGATAACACAATGACACAGTCGACAAAATGTTTAGGAATGTTTGTTGTTGATGTAAAATGTGATCTAAACATTTAATACAACAAAACCAGAAGAATGTTAACCTTTTGAGGACGATGATTTAAGCTGTGATCCTCAAGGGGTTAAAACCTCGTCCTCAAAGGGTTAGAATGTTTATCAAAATGTTTATATTTGTTAGTCATAATGTTTTGTTCTCGGAGTCAACACAGGCAGTGATATACTATAACCCGACGTGTTTAAAGGGAATGTTTGTTATTGTATTTAAGAGATCAACAAAATAGTGAAGGTTGGGTCTCACCTCTGCTCCTGGCCTCGATTACTCTCTTTTCTCTTCTCTAATTGCCTTAGGGGCTACCCGGAGTCGATATTTTCATCGTGTGTAGGGCATAAACGGTGTTAGTCTCACACACACAAACTGCAGCGAGGTAAATGTTAGAGGAGAGTCATCCCGTCCTTCGCTTGAGGTGAGTGAGGCCAGTGTGTGTGTGTGTAGAACTTTTTGTTGTTATTGACAAAGGTGACAAGAGCTTAAGACAATTTTAAAGGGTTTATCTCTACACAGGAGGGAGAATATCGCCTCTAGGTATCAGTAAAAGAGGAAAAAGTGAGAGTAGTGGAGGCGTGATGGTGGGGGCGGCCCTACCCACCCGTCGTCGTCGTCGGGTCTTTGACAAAACTAAAAGTTAATAATGATCGTCATAGAACATTGTTGTAAATTATATTTTAATTACACATAGTGTTACCTTTTTTAATTAGTTATTAATGGTTGATTATCACTTCCTATGTGCCAAATTTTGTGGCCAGTTTGTGGTGTAGAGTGACTGTGTCCGGCTAGTGCTGTGGCTCACACTGTGTCCGGCTAGTGGTGTGGCTCACACTGCCCGGCTGGTGGTGTGGCTCACACTGTGTCCGGCTAGTGGTGTGGCTCACACTGCCCGGCTGGTGGTGTGGCTCACACTGTGTCCGGCTAGTGGTGTGGCTCACACTGTGTCCGGCTCGTGGTGTGGCTCACACTGCCCGGCTGGTGGTGTGGCTCACACTGCCCGGCTGGTGGTGTGGCTCACACTGTGTCCGGTTGATGGTGTGGCTCCACACTAAGCCATCAGCTCTCTCACCGCCAAATTAGCTAGTTTACTCGTTAAGGTTTATGTTTCTTGTGTACTGTACTGTACTGTACTGTGCTGTACTGTACTGTACTGTACTGTACTGTACTGTACTGTGCTGTACTATACCATACTGTGCTGTGCTGTGCTGTACTGTACCGTACTGTACTGTACTGTACTGTACCGTACTGTACTGTACTGTACTGTACTGTACTGTACTGTGCTGTACTGTACTGTACTGTACTGTACTGTATTGTACCGTATTGTACTGTACTGTGTACTGTACTGTACCTGTACTGTACTGTACTGTACTGTGTGCACTGTACTGTACTGTACAGGACTGCACTGTACTGTACTGTACTGTACTGTACTGTACTGTACTGTACTGTACTTGTACTGTACTGTACTGTACTGTACTGTACTGTACTGTACTGCTGTACTGTACTGTACTGGGACTGCACTGTACTGTACTGTACTGTGCTGTGTACTGTGTACTGTACTGTACTGTACTGTACTGTACTGTACTGTACTGTACCGTACTGTACTGTACTGTACTGCTGTACTGTACTGTACTGTACTGTACTGTACTGTACTGTACTGTACTACTGCACTGCACTGTACTGTGCTGTGCTGTGTACTGCACTGTACCGTACTGTACTGTACTGTACTGTACTGTGTACTGTACTGTACTGTACTGTACTGTACTGTACTGTACCGTACTGTACTGTACTGTACTGTACTGTGCTGTGCTGTACTGTACTGTACTGTACTGTACTGTACTGTACTGTACCGTACTGTACCGTACTGTACTGTACTGTACTGTACTGTACTGTACTGTACTGTACTGTGAGTGAGTGAGTGAGTGGGGAAGTCTTGCAGCCTTACCTCCACAGCCACTGCCTACATCTCTCTTAGTCCTGTACCGGACACACAGAGCAGCTTTTTTAAAATGCATATTTGTGAATTTTTTACAATGTCTTTTTGTAGGTATTTGATTATTTTTGTCTTTGTATATGTTGATCTTTTAGTCTATTTATGTTGATTGTAAATATTATTATTATTATTATTTAGTTTAACACGTAAACACTCCTTTAAGAAAAAAGACACAAACTCTTGTCATACACCGAAGTAAGTGTTGAAGGTGCTCTTAGGTCTATAATATGATGATTAAGGTATGTGAATTACGACCTAACGAGCGAAGGTTGGTTAACACTATCTTCTGCCATTTGTCGTCGGGTCTGAGGCTCACTTAGCTAAACGAGATTTTTGAATACCAACACAATTGTAATTCTCCATCAGAGACCAAACGAAGACTTTATCAATTAATATAAACTAATTTACGTAACTTTCAGCCCAATTAGCCGTTGGAATTTCATATATTATTGAAGTTTAATATTTCTGCCCCAAAAGTTTTCCAATTATTGTGGAAATACGGATGTTAAGAGCGTCTCAGAGGCCAGACGACAAACTTATGTGATAGTTGGTCGGCCCTCTGGTCAACCATTACCCTCCATCCTCCCCCTTTAGTCCCACTTAATGGACAGCTTCAGTTCTCATATCCCATTGGTTATTATTGTAATGGAATCAACCAAGACATTTAATTAAGAATCTTAAGGAATCTTCAGTCACTCTTTATCTTACAAGGAATCAACCAAGACATTGTAACGTTAGAATCTTTGGTTCTTTGGTTATATAAAGACATTGAGCCTTTAAGAATCCTTCTTTGTAATCTTATAATGAATCAACCAAGACATTTAAGAATCTTCAAGACGAAGGTTTAAAGAATCAGGTGAAGGATTTTAGTCATTATCAAATGCTTCTTTTCTCATAAAGCTTTAGCCAAATCAAAGTTATTTTTTATTTTGTTTCTAAGGTCGCTTGTGACCTAATAGAGTGTAGTCTGCCAACACCAGGTAGAGCAGAGGGTTGGCAGCCTTGGCCCATAAGATGCTCTTTTTCTGTACATTGTATTTCCCATTTTTCTTGAATTACAAATCATTTTCTGTACGTCCTGAATCCCGTTTTCCTCTGATTTAATTATTACTTACACTGTAATTAGCACTGAAACTGTAACTGATTCTTGCCTTAAACTGAATTTTCAAAGTATTTATGTCAATCAGTCAAAACTTTACCAATATTTTCTTAAGGTAAATAAAATGTGATTCTCTTTTAGTCTACAACAAATTCATTACTGGGACGATTGAGAGATTCTTATTGGTTAAGAGCAAGACGTGGGCCAAGGCAGCTCTCCTTCCCGTGTACATTTATATCCTTGGTAAGATAAATGAACAGAAATCTTTCGGAGTGAATAACAACACCGGTGATCTATAACACAACACTGATGTAACGAAATATACTGTACGTGCCTGTGTGAGTTAATGTCGGGCCTTATGTCGGCAGTACAAGACTTCGATGGTGTGTGTGTGTGTGTGTGTGTGTGTGTGTGTGTGTGTGTGTGTGTGGACTTGAAACGCATCATGAAAACATCGAACCCTTGTACTGGCGGTAGGAAGGTAGATATATAACCAAGATATCCAACACAAACAGAGGCTCAATTATTGTCTTCTTACTGTTCTTGTAGTATGTAAACAAAACGTTCGTGAGTAAGTCGTCACTCGGTCATAAACGAGAATTTTGTCTCGTATTTGTGACTTATAAATTTTTTTTGCCTGATTCGTCAATTTATTCCATTTTCCGAAAGACTTTTAAAAATATTCCAAAACTCTGTCGTATACTTAAATTAAATTCTAGTTTCCTAAATACTTAAAAAAAAAATAAAAAAAACATTATCAAAATCTTGTCTAACGATTAACAAGTTTTGAAAATTCGATTAATTTTACCACTGTCTGAATTATAATTGAAAGACAAAACTAACATACGGAAACTCGCATTTTAACTGTTCCTTTGTAACATATTAACTGAACTGTTATATTTTCTTAATCTTTCTCATCACTGATATCATTTACAATCAGTAACTCTGGAAAAACGGTCTCTTGTTCATATTTACAATCAATAAGTTTAGAAGCCGTTCTTTTGTTTTCATTTACAATCAAATTTACAATCAATAACTCTGGAAAACTATTTGGGTGTTCTACTTACAATCAATAACTTTAGAAGCCGTTCTTTTGTTTTCATTTACAATCAATAACTCGCTTTAGACACTAGTTCATTAAAAACTTTCAGATGATTTACAATATGACATCTAGTTTATATGGACAGCATATACATTGGTGTTTATATATATTGATATTTTCGGGGGATCCTGTGAGCTTTAGCAGAGGTTGTGTTTCTGTACTGTCTCTGTCTGTCTGTCTCTCTCTCTGTCTGTCTCTGTCTGTCTCTGTCTGTCTGTCTCTGTCTGTCTGTCTTTAACCTCACCTTCTATTCTAACAAGAATAAATGGCTGGAGGTGACATACATACATACATACATACATACATACATACATACATACATACATACACACATACATACAT